TATATATTATAATTATTACGTCTTAATTATAGTTTATTTGTGATACACATTGTAAACGCATTGAGGCGTAGCGAAATGCGTCATAAAAGATGTAAATTAAATTAAATTAAATCACCAAATGTGTAGTTTTCAAAAAGTGTGGTTTTGTCTTTAGTTCTTCGTTGCTCCTGACTGGCCTGGTGGTATCTATGCCTGTCCTTCTATCCCTGGCAGTCGTCCTGGTGGAATTATTGCAGCTACATGGGCCGCCATGATGTACCTGGGAGAAACGGGTAAGAGCAATGAAGGAAACCTCACTGACCTGTCTTTATAGGAATAATGTGTGTCTCGATAGCTAAGTGGGTTACACTCTGAACAAGTGAACTTGAATCATCAATGGTTTCCATTGTGAACCAGTCAAGAAGTGTGAAGGCGTGTGCCTTCCAATCACATTGCTTGACCAATCAGAGCACAGGAACATAACTACTTAAAAAAATCTAAAAAATCTACAAAGCTTTTCGCTGCCGTATCACAGCGCGGGACAATCACAACAGCTAGGCTCCAAGCTAAGTGAAGGCCCAAAGATCAAATTAGAATTTAGTAGTTGATTTTTCAGGAGGGAGGAAAAATCGGAGAACCCGGAGAAAAGCCCTTGAAGTACAGGAGAGAACCAACAAACAACTCTACTCACATACGACATCGAGATCGGCAGGACTCGAACGCAGGCTGCATTGGTGCGAGGCGGTGCATCAGCAGCGCACGCCACCCGTGCTTCCCACTCTTCAACAGTTCTCTTCTCAGTTTTTCTCTTTTTTCTTATTCTGCTTTTCCCACTAATGCCATCCCTTTCATTCTGTTTCCTAGGATATGTAGAGTGCACAAAGAAGGTCATCCAGACTAGAGAACAAATACAGAAAGGGTAAATGAATAACGTAAAGAAATTTATCCCCAAGTTACAAAGCAAGCCAGGGAAAATGAGATGCAAAATAGGACAAAAATGCATTATCACAATTCTTAATGCGTCCCAGAATTCACTTCACTTGTGTTGATAAGGGCTTCCTAAATATTGATTGGCACCCAGAACACAAGAGATCCAAATGTGAGCAGTGTTTTGGGTGCCAGGACCTGGATTGAAAAAAAGTGGCACAATTCCTGACCTTTTTAAAAGACAATTGATTCAAATCATTTGTGTGTTGTTTGATATTTTATTTTTCTAGTCTTAGCAAGATAAAGGGATTGTTTGTCTTTGGTGATCCTAAAGTTAGTGTTGTAGCATTTGGATCTAATGATTTCAATATCTATGCTCTTGGTACTCAACTCACTGAACGAGGATGGTGCCTAAACTCCCTCCAAAAGCCTGCAGCGTAAGTATTCTGTTATTATTTACCATTTAATTTTTTCTTTGAGGTTTCAAGTTATCAGTAGCCTATGCATTGCTAATTTAAATTACTGATTAGCAAGTTGCACGAAGCATTGCAGCATATAAACTACATTGCAATTTGAAACAATGTTGCAAGACAAGTTGCTTGAATGCGTTTCTTCTTTTAGCAACGATTGCATCTTCGTTGCACCATGAAA